TACCTTAAGAGTTTGACGCTGACCTTCAACACTTTCTGCAATGCCTCAAAGAAACCTCCCCCCCATACACACAATTAGACCCACAATGCAGACAGAGGGGGGAGCAGTCAAAAAATTAACACAAACTTTCATTTAGTAATAAACGATCACCCACTATAATGGCCAAGAACTCAAAAATCACTGACCACTAATATGAAAAGACTGCTGCTAAAAATTACCAGTGTTATCTTCATCTGATATTCTGGGATCAGTTTTGTTTAAATTTTTCCATGTTTAACTGATTCAGTCAAAAAAGTCTATCAAGCAAATAACATACAAGACACAAATTCAGTTTAAATGGCAATGTGTTTTTCTAGCAAAAGCGGAAATGCCGACAGAGCAGTCATGCTGTGCAGTCTATATTCCTCCTTCCCTCACTACCCCCCAACAAATATGCACCAAGAAAAGCCATAAATTACATGTCGCCAGTGGCCAAGTATTCATGACCCGGCCGATGAAGCGGGCACATATTCTGAGGTCTCCTGTCTCTTGTTTGTGTCACTCAAAGGAATACGCTTCTGCTCCCGCACAAGAATATGACCATAAGAATGCATTTAATGAAAGGTCTCCTCAACATTAGGTGGAGGCTTGTCTCATTCTACCCTGGCCTCCTCCGAGAAGTACACAGAACAAATAAATCCTAGCAAATGTGTTTTTTCTTCTCTTTTTCACAGTCCTTAAAATGCTGGGGGGGTGGGAGGGGGAAGTCTCGGTTTAAAAATGTCTGTGTAAAACACGATGCTAGACAATACATCAGGGACTTCAAACAAAAGCAGAACTGTGAGGAAATGAAAATTAGCTACTGGCTTTGCAGCACTGAGCGACGGCAGACTCTGCCTCGCAGCGTCGGCCAATGTAGCCTCAGGTTTTAAAAGATGCTGCTCTGGCACATCGGCTCCTTCAAACATTGCCAAGGTCGGAAGTCAGTCATAAAAAGCTGAGTGCTGTCTTCTGGCGTCATAAGATAAACATGCCCAGACTTCAATGGCCGTGCCCACATTCTGCTGAAGCTTGCTTCCATGACCCTAATGTCCATTTTGTTTTCTTGTGCCCTACATCGCGCTGATACCAAAATGGCTCTCTTTCATTTTCATCCCTCTTCTCTGTTTTTGATATACCAATCTCCACTCCTTACCTAAATAACATCCCCGTTCCTTTCTTCCATACCCATGTCACAGAATTACTGACTGTCTCCCTGCCCAAAATGAGTCCTGGAGATGAACAGCACTAGATGCAGTTCAGTGCCCTGAACTGCAGGCTTAATTTTATCCATGCGAATGAGCATCCTTTAATCTTGAAAAAAAAACTATGAGGGGAAGAAAACCTTTCCCTTAGGGTGCTTTTCCACCGCACCAGGTACTGTACTTTGGGTACTTCCATAAAGTACCAAAAGTATGCTACTTCTTTTGTGTCGGTTTTCCACTGGCGTAAAAACTGGTACCAGCACCAGATGACATCATCAGTGACCGCCCCTGACTGACATCATCACAAAGCGCAGCACGTTATTTCTTTCGCTGAATTCTGTTATTATGTTATTATTTCACTCCTGTTATTATGATCCTTCACTTTCCTGTAGTCCTGCTTAAGTTTTCTGATTTTCATACTTTTTTATTTCGAGTCGTGCCATCCAAATCCCACTGGATCTGTTCATCTGACCATATGGCGATTAAAGCCTAAGTTTCCTCATTTGTCCATCCTTCCATTTTACTTTTTTATATTTTTGTTTGTACTGCTTTTTATTTCATTTCTCGCTGTTCGCTGTGTGTTTCAAAAAGCGGTTGTATTTTGTGTTTCAGCGACAGGCTATTTGCATAACCAATCAACAGCAAATATGTTTGCAAGTCCTACCCCAAAGCACCGAAGTACCAAAGAAGTACCCCAGCTGGTTTGGCACTTTCGGTACTGAAACTTTCGGTACTGGTACTGGACCGGAAGTTAATGGAAAAGCGAAAGTACCTAAAGTACCTTACCGAAAGTACCGTACTTTGTGCGGTGGAAAAGCGCCCTTAGATGTCACAATTGAATGTGTCTATGTTAATCTGGGTGTTAAAGACCAGGCAGGTCATGCTGTTATGAGCTGTACACAACAAGAGGTCAATCAACATGTAATTGACTTCAATGTACACAGACTTAATGGAATTTAAAAACCGACCTCACATACCCAGAAATATTCTGATTAATGTCTATTAACTGATTCAGAGTCCCATTCATAGCACGCCTCTGTGGTGTCATTTGAGGTTCTTGACAATCCCAGCTGGGCATGGCGAATAATGCCAGAGCCTACAAATCCAATCCAAAACAAAAAGCCACCTCCAATTTAGGAGCCACCTCAAGATCTAAGCATCCTGAAATGTGTGGGACTGGCACTCAGTGCTTTGCTACATTTTTTGGCACCAGCAGAAAGCAGACCGATCATACCTGTCTACATAAATGGAGGTCAATGTCACAGTACAAAGAATATAGTTTTAACCACGGGGTCACTGCGAGTTCAGACAACCAGTCCACAAATTATGCTATCTTAAATCTTTTTTATTTATTGGGGTGAGTCTACCCCACTTGCATGACTAAGCTAGAAACTACAAAGTTATGAATGGTGTATGAGTCACAATGACCATGGCAGAACAGTGACTATGATGACAGAGATGAAGACTAAGATGACAGGTTCTGAGATGCATGCCCAGCACAACAAGATCCCTTTAGAGTCTTACAGGCTCAGGCCATGGAGGAAATGCACAAAACGTACATTAGCACCAAGGCTTCCTAACATTTGTCTGTTCATAATTAATTTCTGCTCAAAAAACACAGGAAATGTAGCATTAGCACCAGATTAGCAAAAATGGAATCAGGAAACATGTTGTTATTATATTAATATAAACAATTTTAATGTAAATATCTTTTGTTCTTTTCCCCTTTAATGACTGGCGTGTCTTCTGCCATGCCCAGAAAGAAAATGGAAAGAATAACAATGCTGCATGACTTCTGCTGTTAAGATAAAACATCCTCCACTAGTGTAGACTTCATTTAACCAAGACAAATGTGAAATCAACATGATATGGAGAATAGAGAATGGTATTTAAACACTTCTGTTCATCTCTGAGCTGTATATTTTGGAAGAAAAAAAATATTCATTGCTGGTACTTAAAACGGCTAACTAATGGTTAAACCCAGGGTATTCAGTTACCTGTCATGACCTTTCACCTGTGCTGTTAACAGACATGTTGCTGATCATGTGACCTGACATCAAACAAAGATCTTTTTATACATTCCCACCACTACTCCGCTATGCATATTCATTAAGCAAAGCATCATCAAAATTAAATGTTTATTCAACTACAAGTATGTATTCATCAAGAGAACGATTCAAGGTAAATAAGGGAGTAACTTGAGAGGAACTAATCAAGTATGATTTTTTTTTTAAAACATAAATATGCATTATCCAGAAGAGCATTTGCTAAGCATTTTAAACTGAACATGGTCCATACTGTCTACTTCATTTATTGTCTCAGTAATTGTGAGCCCACCAAAAATCTAAAACCAGCTTGACTGCTGAACAAAGAGAATTCCACCATGAAATGATACAATCTCTGGTTCTGCTAAATTTTGTTTAATGTTTTCAAAGGAAGCTGGATTGCTTTTCATTTCACGTACCTTGGAACTAACCTTTTCTTGGTTTTATATAAACCTGATGTTGCCAGGAAGACATTTATCTTCCAGTTGTTCGTGTTGGAGGTCTAGGGAGAGTAAAAATGATCTACAATTTCAATATGAACACCCAGCATGTGTGACTGATTGACAAACAGAAGACAAAAAGTTTGACCTTTTAAAACAATCCAGTCTAGTGACTTCTACTTTAAAACACAGGGTCTCTCTTACCTGTCTCCTTTCCTCAGATTCCCTCAGCTCCTTCTGTGCTAAGAAAAGGTACAAAGAACTCACGCACAACAGCAAGAAACTCAATGCAAACGTATCAAACTACTATTTACCAACAGAGAAATATTGTATTTTATTTAATAAGTATAATTTCCTTTAGATTTGACAGGACATGTAACATTTAATAAATATTTCTGACTAGCCATTGCTAATAGCATCCCTAAAAATGCCCTTAATCACATGGTATCAAAGGAATGAAAAGAAAAAAGGATACAAATGGTAATGATTGCTACATGCAATTTTGGGAATTCACAAGTTGTCAATCTCCAAGAATCCAAGAACTTGCGGTGTTCTGGCACCTTGTCTGGGTTACAAGTCTTGCTTCTCCTTCATGCAGCTCTCTTTGAAGCCATTCGTTCAACTTTTGTTTTAAACCAGGCACGTTTCCACTAAATTGCAGGTGCAATCAAACAACTGCCTCATCTCCTTCAGGTGCAGTTTGTTTATAAAGCCTTCAGTTCTTAGCAGCATACCTTTTTGATATGAATATAAAGGATAGGCCTCACATAGATCTTCTGTACCTACTAATGAGCCATTCTCCTAGATGGTACAAAGTTATTGGAAAACAATCAAGCCATCACTCCTGACTTGGAGACATGCAAACTAATTAGGGAATATAGCATAAATATGGTTCCTGCTGCAGGCTGGGAACCTTTCAAAGACCTCTTGGTATCAGAGCCAAGAGAATATTTTAAAACTGGAGTTTGTTCTGAGGCACTCAGTGTACAGGTGTGGAAGTTGTACCCTTTCCATCATATACAAACTTTTTTTCTGAGCTTACAGGTCAGTCCTGCTCAGCCATAAATATCATTATTACACATTACATTATGCTGCATATGCTCATAATTGCTAACCTTAACATCCATGCCCACCATGACCATGTGCTGGATGAGGAATTATAGAAGATGGATACATTAGAAAGAACATGAAGGAAGACAGCTGAAAGTGTGACCACTCACACCACAACAGCCTAACAACATTATCTACCTGTTGTTTTAATCACAAGTAGATGTAATGCAGAAATTCTGTCAAGCCGTGAAACAGATTACTAATAAAGGGTGATGTCTATAAGCACGTGCTCATTGCGAAAGAACATGATGTAAAGATTCAAATACCGCAGCAATTCAAAGCCATAGACAAAAGATGAATTCTCATTTGACTCCTCTATCAAGCAATAAAGCATTGTATAACTTCCTATAGTGGTTCAGGACACAGCCTTGGAACTAGTCACCCTGCCAGGCATAATGATACGCTTGCACTGCTTCACTAAAATGTCCAACCTGTACAGATAGGTAAAACTTTCTAACTAAGAAAGGTCCTTAATCCCTTTCACTTCAGTGAAATATGGAGTTGCACAAGGGGGGTTGTCAGAACGCATTAAAGCTGCAAGGCCCTTTAGATAAAAGAATGATTAAAATGATAAACTTGTGGGATGTCAGGCTGTGGCTAAGGCTGAAGGAGCTCGGAATCTATCCTGCGGGACCGTATTCACAAATTCCCGAAACGATCTCTTTGGGCACTCTAAGCGGGGGTGCGCTCTCTGACGTCTTCTTTTGCTCTAGCGTTATCTGAGGAGTAAATTGGGCTCTGAAGGATTCACGGTGTGTACGATGTATAGTTTTAAAAGAAACAATAAAAGAATACGAAATGAAACAAGCGTAGCCTCTCGGCTGCCCTTGTTTGGGCTGAAAAGGCAGTATTGGGTTATCCCCCAGTGTGAGACAGACTGACTGACGGAGCGAGAGAGAGAGAGATGTGCGTATTCATTATATGACCATTTACGCCGTGAAAAAAACCCTTCAGCATTCAGCCTGGAGCTGTTTCATTTTTTACCTATGCTATAGTGTATGAGACAACCTCCAAGTTAGCTAGCATCTTAGTACTTCAAAACACATCATATATATTTAGAAAAACACCTAATAACTAAACCACCGGTTCCTTTCCCCGCCTCACCTGAACGTGGCTCCCATCTGCTTCTGTCCACGAGCAACGGAGCACGCGGCAGAGCGCGAGCAATCGCGCCATTTTCCAGGTAATTACAGGTGTTCGTGGCGGCGATACGGGGCACAGAACGGCATTCGCCTTTCCATCGATTTCCCATTTCATCTGCTTTCACGATGATTTATCAGCGGCGCTGACGCAGCGAGACTAAATACTGCTATTGCTTTGATTGGTAATAAAAAATAAGGCGAAGACGATTACCTCTGTGGCTGCAATTTGATTTCAAATTATTTACTTTTCTGCTGTTCAGGTGACGTCCTAAAAGCACCGTTATTTGAGGCGAACTTGCCACATTTATTTTTAGACACTTTTTTTCTTTCAAACTTATGAACCCCTGTCAGTATCGGTTCACAAGTACAGTCAACGGATTCATAAAACGGCGCCCACCTGCACGAGCCCCTCTTGCACATGTGTAGTTCAGTGCTGACGTAGACGTGTGATTTTTTATAGATAGATAGATACTGTATATAGACATAGATAGATAGAAATATGTTTATTACTGTATACACCCTTCACCAGAAAAAAAAATCAGTAGTAACAGTCATGAGTCAGTATAAAAGAAAATGTGTCTTTTTTATTTTCTATTTGATGTCAGCACTGTCAGCCACATTTCACCAGGGAGGAACTCCATTAAAACATCTGTGTGGGGACCCAGAAGCAAGTTTTAGGAAACTGTTGTTGACAGCCATTCACAGGGGACATGTCTCTCTCAGTGTCTGACTCTGCTTTTGTGATGGAGGGCAGTTTTTTTTTTTTTTTTAAATTTGACGTGATGCTGCTCAGTCCAGTTTTTCGAGATGAAAGGGCCCAGCAGCCTTTTGTTTTTGGGAGAGATTTTCATTTTGGTCCAAGCAAAACGTTGACACTATGCATGACACAGTGAGCCCAGCTAATCTGGAGAGAAAACCTTTTGTATTAATAAAATTTGCTTTTCTGTGCTTTTCACAAGCCTGGTGGCTGAGGGCTGGACCATTTACCGGATGAAACCCTGAGCTTTGCTCTTGTACATTGTGAAAGACAATCAAGCCTATTTGTTTCTGAAAAAATATCAAATTAAATGAATAGGTAAAAAATAAATTTATAAGCAAAGTTGTTTTGGATAAAACAGGCTGCTAAGAAATCAGTATAGGTAATGCATTTTGCATAAATATATATCAGGTATACTTTTAAGGGAAGATCAGCTGCCTAAAATGATCTCATTCACGCTATCTCATTCAGTACTTATACAAAGTATTTTTAAGCCTTTTCTGAGCCAAAAATAGTCTCCAGAATGAAGCTGAAGTAGACACCAGGGGAGTATGTGATTCTGTTAGGCCCCCACTTAGCTGGGTGCTAGCCACTGTTTTAGCGCCTGGTCCCACACTGGCAGCAAATCATGGCACACCGATTGTGGTGGCGGTCAGACCACTGCTGGGGATGAGAGTTGTCTGTCAAGCCGTGAGTGACACAAAATCAGGAGGGCAGGGAAGTGCAGAAGTACTGGAGGCCTGGCATGGCTCGGGCTACCCTCCACAGTGCATCTCTGCCGGTGTTTGGCAGCCAGTGTTAAGAAGCACTGCATCAGCTGTCGTTCTGCAGAAAGCGCGTCAAGCTATACATCTTGCTGATACTGCCCTGTCAACTCAGGACGGAGGTTTATCTTTTTAAAATGACATTCTTACCACTACGTTTCCCACAAATCATGAGTACTGGCGGCATCCCCAGTGACACACCAGTCAATTTTAGGTACAGTGAGAAGCCAGGTTTGATCTCTGTTGTGCCACGTTAGCTGTCCATGGCCATAGTGCCGGAAGAATGCAAAATATTGTCCATGTTCGATTGTGTCAGTACAACGGCAGGATCCCTCCTTCCTACGGCTCTCTCCAGTGACACCTACAGTTAGTTTGGTGCTCAGGGGCAGAATCATTTTATTGTGTCTATGTCACTGCAGCACATGGGGTTCCTAACAGGGAACACATCAGAGGAGGTCTGTGTTAGTCTTCACCCTGAGTCACCAAGGCTGTTCTCTGTCAAGGGGGTGGCCTTATGGAAAACGGGAGTAATCAGCTATTCCAGACTGTGAGGGAAAAGAGCAAAGACTGGCGAGATTGTCCTCAGGGTCTGACGGCCATTGTGCAGCATGGGGAAAATAGTTATGTTCTGAAAGAGGAGACAGATCAGGGAAAAAAGATAATCCCTGGCAGGGATTGTTTACAGAGAATGAAAGAGGACAGGCAATTCATGCAGGCTGGGCTACATTTCTCAATTTCTACATATTTTCCAGCATTTGTTTTTTAAACAACATGTTTCTCAGAAGCATTCATTTTATTTGTTTATCACAGGGTTTGACAGTGGAAGCCAAAGTGCTTATTATTCGTGTTTACTAACTTGGGGCTATTTTATGTGAAAATAGAAAAATTATGCATCAAAGAGTATAACTGGAGCACGCAGTAACACCGAAGAGTAATCTGGTAACACAATTGAAAGTCAATACGGAAGCAGGATTATATGTAATAGCAAACGAATGCATTAAAGTGTATTAGCTCAGGCGAGGAACAAATGTGGCAGGATTGGATAGCTAAAAGGGCATATGTGTAAGTAGGAGTAGCTGGGAATTCTACAATTTACATGTGATCACGTCAGAGTTACGATGTTGGAAAGCGCCTGTCACAGGTGTCTTTTCCACCACGTGCACTCAGCAGTTAGGCGTGGTGATTAGTGCTTGGCATGCCCTATGGATTTATATCCCTCTAGACCAAATTCCATGAGAGTGCATAACGGGTGCTTTGGGTTAATGATCTCTGGCATACGGCCTTGGATTGGCTGCACCTCATGGATGGGGTGGAGAATGGAAAGCCATGTTCAGGGAGCAATAACTACAAGTAATTTATATAAGCAGTTTGGTGTGGAAATATTTGATCTCCATCTGGGAGCTTTAAACTTAATTATTGTTCAGTGCACTGCTGTGTTCATTTTTTCATGTCTGGCCATTTTTAATATCTCTGTTGTTGTTTTTGTAGCCCACTTCTGAATAAAAATATTATACCGGTTATCGACACGGATATCTATGTTAGACCAGTGATATGGAGGTATTTACAGTTTTTGACAATACTAACAGAAGTGCTTTCATTCAGCTTTGTAAACATTAATAATCTTTTCATAAGATTTTATTCTGAACCAGTTACAGGTGAAGAATATTGAAGAGACACTCTTAAACGGAATTAATTTTGTTTATTGTTGTCAATTGCTTGTCGTAAGCACGTGCTGATTAATTATCCGAGTGCTTGATGTGATTGTATTGAATTTCCTCCAAAGGTTAATCTCGTTACTGAGCGATGTGGGGGCCGAGTGCGGGACACCCGGGAGTTTAGTTTTTTTTGTGCTTCGTGAGGCAAATGAGGGGGATCTGATTACACCGTCAGCGAATTGCGGTGCGGCGGCTGTGCGGCACAGCGTGAGGCCACGCCCCGACCGGGCCTGCCAGCCGGCTGCCTGCCGTGCTCCCTGCCAACATGGAAGTAAGGATTCAGCGGGTACGCCTGCAGGGTGGCGAACCTTCAGTGCATTAAAGCTAGAGGAAGCCTGTAGCCGCAGTCCACATTTGAGCACCTGACCTTTTCAGAAAGCCTGTTTCTGATAGGGTGGGGGGGAAGGGGCAGAGCTAATCTCTCTTGTCTGATTGGTTCAAATGTTTGTCAGTCAGAGTGCTGGTCTGGCAGGCAGCAAATGGCTTTAACAGCAGTGTGAAAGGGTCCTTCACTGGAATGCTAAGTGAAGAGAGAACATTGAAAATCCTTAAAGACAGTGGCCTTGTAATCCTCCACTCTTGTATGTTCAATTTCCATTATTATGGCTATAAAATATGATTAATAATGCGAAGCAGATCAAACATTGACGGCAGTATCATCTTGGTACCTTTTGTGAAAAATTGCCAACTGGAGGGTTGATTAATTAATTGAGACAAATTTTTATTTTATAGTTTTCTACCAGTTATTGAGGAGTGATATGGATTAAAACATCACTTGATTAACCGCTCTACCCAAGCAGAGAGGGAGCTCTGGGAAGCTGTGATTGTCACCTGGTTTGGGGACATGCGTACACAGGCACACGCAAAGGGTCATGAGCTCCGGCTTTCAGGGCAGCACATACCGGTAGATCCGTTACACCTTCAACGACTCTCCAGTTTCTATGCTAATTTATTAATATGGCAGCTAGCTTACTTGGTATGAATTCACTCACTCACACACATTTTCACATGTTCACCTGATCAGTTAATATACCATTCTGACATCCATGCACTCGCTGTATTCCATATTCATTCATTCATTCATTCATTCATTCATTCATTCATTCACTCTGTTGAATCAGGCTTTCGCTCATACATTCACATGCAGGTTCATTTCTTCACACAGCGATTCACATATCTATTCAATCCTTTACCCATTCATTGACATACTTATGCAGTCCTTCACCCATTCACTGCCATCTCATCTTCCCCCACATCAGGAAACTTGCATTTGCTTTGGGATGCCCCACCACCCATCAATATCCTTTTGACAAACATGTTCCACATGCAGATTTCCGAACAGATGATTGTTTTAAAAGGAACGTGCACTTGTGCAGGAAGAAAGACAAGACCAGTGTAGCAGAAATTCAATAAAAACAAGACAGATGGGTCGTGGCTTCGTCAGCTAGCGTATAATTAAGTGGCTCTTTCTCAGGTCGCTACTGTAGAAACAGAAGTGTGCAATTTTCTCTCTGCCTCCTATAATCCTCCGTCAGCAAGTATACAAGGAAGGGGAACGAGTGGGGCTTGGCCACCCGATCCATCCATTACTTTTGTGTAGCATTTCTGTAACATCAATGCCAGAGTGCCAGCTCTCCCAGTCCCCAGACTACTGACCAGGGTTTTGTCTTTTCCCATCATGTTACCCTGTTGTGTCTATAATTACCATATATCCTGTCTCGATCACCCTTATGTGGTTCACCTGTGTTTTCTCCTATATAATTCAGCATCTCGACTTTGATCCTTGTTGAGTGTTTGCTGACCTTATTCCTGTTCCTGGTCTCTTGCTGCAGTTCCTAGTCCCCAGCCCTGTTTCTAGTTTGGCTTCCAGCCTCCTTGTCACGCGTTTGCAGTTGTCCCCTGTTTAGGGCTTAGCCCAGTGGTTCCTTTGTTCCCCTTTAAATCCCCTCACACCTGCATCCCTGCCGCTGAACCTCTCTGTGCGTCCTGGCATGGATCCCGTGACAACCGCACATTTTTATGACTCGTCAAAAAGTGTTTTGCAGTGATCAACGGCAATATTTCCAGGGGCAAAATAATCAAATAGAGGGAACCAAAAACAGTCCATATTGGAAAACGTGAACACTACCCCCTGCCCTTTAAAAAGCCATACTCCAGGCAATAGAGAGACACAAAAGACATATGGTTAGATATAAGTGTGTAATGCAGCTTCCAGAGTATCAATATCTTGTGTTTGTTCTCTGGCTTCACTCCATCAGTCACGGCTGTGTCCACAGTCGTCCTTTAATCCGTTTCTTTTTTGTATTTTTCGGGAGCGCTCTGACAAGCCCAAATCTCGGCCGTTTGATGCCGCTCCCTTGCCCTCACTGCACTCCTGTTTATGGGCTGAGGAATGAAAGGCAGCCATCTAAAGTTTTTTCCCCACTATCGTGAGAAGCCGTTTGGCGCCGGGGGAAGCCACGCATTCCTGTCCCTGACCATGGATGCCTGTTCCGTGTCCCTGCAGAGCCCTGCCACCACGCGCAAAGAATTTGCCCTTTTCCCTTGCTCCCAGAGCGATTAAAATGACGACAGGATTGATTTGCAGGCTCCGGAACAGAACCAGAACGGTGTTATTCAAGACGGGTCGTAAAGTCGGGGAATATTGCGGCCCTCTTCTAAAACACGTGTTAAGATGTCATTTCAGACCTCATTTCACCTAAAGGAAGCTTTGCCTCACATATCATTTTATTGCAGTCACCCCCCTCTTTTATTACAGTATTTACATTGCAGGGAAGGTTTCTTAATTACATAAATAATTTATCGGGAATGTGAACAGGGGAACGGGGGGTATAAAGAACAGATTATTGGTCGTAATCTGGGAGAAGAGCCAGAATATCCATCAGACGCAATTACGTGGAAACAAGGAAATGATTTTTTTTTTTCCCGTCCATTTAATACCAGAGCTGTCCTAGAGCTTTTGTTCATAGTCTCAATGGCAGCATTGTGGTCTAGGTTTAGATTGATGGGGTTTAGAACCGGGTCGGCGTGCAATGCCGTGGACCTGGTGTAGCATGGTGCCGAGGCAAGTCAGCCTCCAGAGCTGCCGCACCGTGAGTTACGGTGCCTCACAGGGGACATTTCAGCACCACGACCTTGTAATCTGCCCACTGATCTCATTTCACGGAGTGCCGATATCTAACCGCGAGCGAGGCAGCACATCTAACCAAAGCCGTCATAGCTGACAGCCTCCCCCTGCTAACCCGGCAGACGCGGTGGCTAGTTTGCCACCAGTGTGCTTGTCGGGGTCTGAAGGAATTCATTTCCTGGTGGCAGCAAGGCCCCGACTTCGCAGCTAAATTATATTCTATTTGTCATAACTGAGTGAGCGGCCCTCAGCCCAGTGTCTGTGCCCCATACATCCTCTGTGCGCTAAATCAAGACAATTACTCTTTCTGGGGTAAAACGGGGTCTTCCGCTTTTGTAAATAACAGGCTTATAAATGGACATTGGGATGACATAACCGCTATGACTTATTTGATTATCCGAACATGCCGCAAGTCAGAAGTCAGCCGAAGTTACTCTCACCTTACTATCTGTAGTTCCTCTACTGTTGGTCTGCATGCACATGAATGGGGTTCCATAACGTAGGACATTAGGGATCCTGTGTGGGCTTCTCAAGCGTGAGTCCTTTAGTTAAGTCCATGAGCCTGTCACAAATGCAAATCCTGCAATTGTCATGCTAATTTAAGCAATTTTTTTGCCAGGCTACACTGCACCATCAGGCTCCTTTGGGATGGGTTTACACAATCGATACAAAGCTGAGGTTTTGACCTTGGACTTTGATTGTTACAACGCACAATGACTTCCACCAGAAACGCCCAGGTGTGTCGCGTGTCCATGCGCAATCCCAGTTGCCCAGTTGTAAAACGCAGTGAGTACCACCCAATGTCGGACCCTCACCGAGGCTCCGTGTGATCACGTCAGCCGCACAGTGATTGGTCAGAGACTTCAGGTTGACGATGGTTTTTCATTGCTTCTGAAGAAGTGAACAATGACTTTGGCGAGGCCTACCCTCCCCCACTCCACCCTCCACCTCCCATTAGTGTTACCTTAGCCAAACAAATCTGTCAGCCAATATTGTTTTTTTTTTTCAGAGAACATTCAATATCCTGCACATGCTTCATTTTGTTTACAAATTTACCAGGGAAATGCTAAGACACAAACTGGGAGGTAATGCATCGCAGGGAAGGGGAGGCCAGTGAGACAGTTTTCCAAGACAGTTAATAGAAATGTCTTATTTCCCCCCAAGAACCTTGGCGTAGTCTATTTAAATCCCTGACATATCACATCTCTACGACGTATCATTACCAGCAGAGGCATAGCAGGGTGGGGGCAGAGCTGCAAGCGGCTGTGTAACATAGACTGAAGCCACCCGGAGCAGCTTTGGGGCCCTAACTCCCCCCCTTCCCTGGGAATGGTGCAGGCTGGCACATTACTCCACCTTAGAAGGCTAAGGCTCACCTTGAAATGCCTGAAAATGAAATCTGGAGATCGGAATCACATGCCCTCATAGTCGGGAGGGAGGGTTCCCATCTTAGTGAACAAACAAAGCCAATCATGGGGGGCACGGTTTGGCAGCCCTCGCTACAACCAGCAGGGTCTGTGTGTGTGTGTGTCGGGGGGGGGGCCCTCAATGTTGTTTCCATAAGTCGGTGTCCGGTGCCACTCGCCGGTCCTTCTTGTGTGCCAGTCACTGCCACTTATCTCTGCTGAGCAGGTGTGAGCCCTCTGCTGCTGGAATCCTGGATGTGTCAGGCCAGGGCAGGGGGGACATGGGGGGGACACGGGCTCCGGGTGTCGAGGTAAGTTTCACATTCTGCAGATCAAGCGGTCACTCTTCCAGGCTTCTTCTCAGAGCTTAATTGTGGATTTACATTTTAAATTAGCCCCCCCCATCCCCCTCTCATCTGTAGAACAAATCTAAATCCTCTCCATCCAAAGACACTCTCAGAATGTTATTAACCGTCACCCGTTATTGTTGTTGCCCTTCTCTGCCGCCACTCCTCCCCCCTTACACCCAAAATTCAATGAGGACGGGGGTCACTGGATGGCACCAGCGGTGGATTATGTTCTCATTTGTTGCTATTAATGCACTGGAAGTGGATTCCTGCATCCTTGATGCACGCCAATGGGCAACGTGCCCCCTTTGAGTCATGGTGGCCTGTGCCCCACCCACAGCACAGTGGACAGAGGGCACACACACCATCACACGCTGGGTTCAGAGGACCAACCGGCAGGGGCGGGCCATTGAGGCACTGGCCCTCGCTTAAAGCTGATTGGCCACCAGAGCACCCCTCTCCATCGTCACTCACCCATTCAAAACATATCATTCACTAATGATAAGGTTTGCACCACTGTATGAATTATTGCCCTTCTTATGCCCCCCACTCTATTAATCCCCCAACCCACCGCCTCCCATAATGAGCTCCCATTGTTCTTTCTGCCACTCCTTTCCCTCCATCCCTCTGTCCTCCTACTGAAATGAAGCATTAATGTGAAATGAAAGCTTCCATATGCAGGCCGTCACTAATCTGGTAACCCTCACAGCCTCGGGGGCAGGTGAAAGTTGGCGCGGGGAGACGTGTTCTCACCAGGCGCCACTCTTAGCACTTAGCGCTTAGCAAGGTCGGCCACCTACGCAGCCTCTGAATGATAAAGAGGTGCCAGCCTAGGAAATGTATTCACCGATGACTTTAGTATAAGGTTGCGTACAGTTCAGCGCTCTATATGCTAGCCATCACTCAACGGCTGGTGTGCGGCCTTCTCTCCCACAGCTCCCTGAAACACTCTTTCCAGATTTTCAGATGGCAAGCCCTCACATTAGCTTCTCTGGAAATATCTGAAAAGGGCTGGTTAATTATCTTGGCCTTTTTTTGTACATGAAATAATTGCAAGCTTGACACCTCAGGACACGTCGAATTATTTTCACAAAAGAGGCTTGTCCAACCAAGCCAGGGGTAAAAAACATTCGCTGGATCCCTTCATTTGATCTTTGTAGGCAGATGGAGACCTTTGTGCAAACCACGTGGTGCTTTGAGTGATATTACTGGCCTATGTGTGCGAAACCCATCCTCCAAAGTGACACAATATGTTGGGAAGATTTCGGCTGCAAATGTTGTGCTTATGTTTTTCAGGCTCTGGGATCCCAGTGGTGATGTACATCTACTGTACTTCAAAGCAAGGTTCCAATGCGTCTGAGGATAACATCACATTTTACAGGGGGGTTAAAGGCCAGAGTACAGTATCAGGGAATTCCACTAGGAGGGCTTTCCTTTTGGATCTATTAGATGGACTTTATGCCTGGAACGATCTGGGAAATATCCACGGGAAAAGCTGGAAGACAAGCAAAGCAGACAGCCTCACTGACAAGGCATTTACTGCTTGAAACTCTTTGTCCAACTTTTTATGATGAATTCCCCAATGACCTTAAAACATGCTGTAGCATTTCTCACCCTTCTGGGAAAACTGTGTTGCTACATGTGTTTAACAACACGCAGGGAAAGCGACTTTGTAATTTAAGATGCATTGCATGACAAAGCAACAAATAAACAGCAAATACCCCAATTAATATGTAAAAGTAGCTGCCTGTGTCAGAGGTCTATATACCTATTAAAATCAGTTTTTCTTTCACTGTTTTGTCACTTCTCAGAAAAGCTTTGAGATGGCCCTCAGCTGGCCAGTGCTGAACGATTATGATCCTTTGCCAAAGATGGTTTTTTTATGAGTTCCAATGACATGAAGTGGTTGCCTGGTTACATTTCTCATTACCATACTGAATGCCAGAACAGGTGAACAATGGCATAAACAGACACGACGATGACTCGGAAAAGGTTGATAAGACCGCATTTTCTCACAATGTAGCATTGGCATGGGGTTTGATCTTGTAGCTTTTCTCCATACGATCAGAAGGAGCTGGAATTTTATTACTGAATGCTGCAGAGCTTGCTATTTTGGTTCAGTTCATTGACTCATAGGCACGGGAAGATATTTTGAGCTCAGCGTACTGAAAGCAGGAACAACCAGTAGGCTTTACAGAAGTTCTTTTGCATCATTGGTAGCTATTTACAGCTAACAATGGTAGTCTTTTTGAAGAAATAATCAGGATCAATAGTGCCATTATTATGAAGTCACCTCTGAGCCACTGCGAGATAATGAACATCATTTTTTTCAAAAACTAGAGGCATGGGCACACTGTGCTACTGTATTCAGACACCGCATTACCACCAACAACCAGAGGGGGTGCTGAAGCACCCTCAGCACCCCTACATCCAGCGTTACTGCATTTGCTGTCTGAAGGTAAAAAAAAAACACATAATGGGGATGGAAGGGCAGGTCACACAAAGTCATTTGTAGCCCATTTTTCAAATCACCGTCAATGGGAGCCCACTGTTCTGCCCAGCCCTGGCTGTCCCGAGCCATTGTTACAGGAACTGGCAGGCGGTAAACCCCAGAAGCGACATGGCATCTGTATGTTTTAAAGAAAAAGTTATTAGATTTTAATCACTTCAGTGCTGGAGTGACAGACCGTGTTGGGCGGGGCAGCAGAGGAGGCCGCGGGGTCGTCCCTGGAATGGACGGCTCTCTAATTAAAAGTGGGAACGGGGCCCTTCAGAGTTTCTAATTAGCCTGGAAAGTCTCAAAAAACGGAATACCTGAACAACATAAATCATTATGGGTGACTTGGCACTCTTTTGATGTGAAGCATTTTCTATTAATATGTCACCCTAATTAAGTTTTTTTTTAATGCCAAGACTGACTGAAACATTAATGTCATTTCAATGTTGGCGAAAGGTCAGCAGTCAGAGTTCACTGCTTCCTACACTTTGGGGGGGGAGGGTGGGGGGTAAGGTATGGGTAGCCCATGGTAACCGAATCGTGAAAACGGGGCTCTGATTCATTGCCGAGTGAGGCTAAAGGACACACTCAAAGGTTAGGTGATTTCGGCAGCTGCAAAACATGCAGGGAGTGCAACAAGTGGCCAGTAGGGAGACCAGAGATAACATACATGCTAGTTGAAACTTGATAACAAGCTACAGGAACCTAAAATGGTTCTGGTTCCTCATACCTGAGATATTATTCATTACCACATTTAATGGTGATATTTTATATCGTTTAGATTAATATTATTTGCATATATTCCATATTTAAATACTTGGATGACAGATCTGAATGTGTCCTTCATAGTAGCCAAATGTATATCAAGCCTCACAACTAAATCAACTTATGTCTCTTTATGGCATTTATAATGATCTTTTCTTAAGCCACATTATTTTTAATCTAATTCTCCATGGAATAAATAGTAGTTTCTTCCATTTCAATTGTTATTTCAGTGATTTTAAATACATACTGCACTTTACACAATATTTATGTGGAGGTTTAATTGGGTCATGCTGCTGAGCACTTGATATCTAGGTCAGGACAACACAACTTTTTCTGGAATTAATGCAGAAGCCTCCATTGTTCATTTGGCTCAGGTTTTGTCTTTTGTTTGTTTGTTCACTCAGAACGCCACACTGGGCAGGGTCTTGGTAGTTGCTGATTCGGACTGATTGGTAACCAGAGACATAAGGACCACAGTCTTCAAATGCCAAACATTAACATCTAGAGGAGCCATAGCAGGATGGAACTTGGTCTGAAGTTTCAGGTCTGCAAATACCTCTGTCTTTGTTCTCCATCTTCATTCAATTTCAGATACCCTCAAGACAAACTTCATGTATTTATTAATATTTTATTTTTTGTGTCTGTATATACAGGGGTTGGACAATGAAATTGAAACACCTGGTTTCCTTTTGCAGCCAATACAGCATCAATTTGTCAATTTGTCGCTATACCTCTTGCAGAAGATGATGCTGGTGGAGGAAAACATTTCCTAACTCGCTTCTCCGAAACACCCCAAAGTGGCTCAATAATATTCAGATCTGGAGACTCTGCAGGCCATGGGAGATGTTCAGCTTCACTTTCATATTCATCAAACCACTGTGTCACCTGTCTTGCTGAGTGTATTGCTGTATTATCACCCTGATACACGGCACCACCTTCAAGGTACAATGTTTGAACCATTGGGTGAACATGGTCCTCCAGAATGGTTTTGTAGACCTTGACAGTGACACGCCCATCTAGGACAAGTAGTGGGCCTAGGGAATGTCATGATATTGCAGCCTAAACCATCCCTGATCCACCCCTGTGCTGCACTCTGGGTACATAATTTGGGTGGTAAGCCTCTTTGGGGCTTCTCCACACTGTGGGAGACATAGTGAAAGTGGACTTATCTGAGAACAATGCATGTTTCACATTGTACGCAGCTCAAGATTTGCGCTGCTGGCACCATTCAAACCGACGTCTGGCATAGTCACAAGTGATCAAAGGTTTGGCTATAGCAACCCAACTATGAATATTGACCCTGTGGAACTCATAAGAAACAGTTTTGGTGGAAACAGGAGAGTCAAGGTGTGCATTTAATTCTGCAGTGAGTTGTGAGTTTTTTGGATATAATCCAGGTTAGTACCTGGACGTCCCTTTCAGACAGCTTCCCTTTGCCTCCACAGTTGCTCCTGTTGGATGTGATCCATCCTTCGTGGTGGTAGGCCGACCTTGCCCTGGATACTGTGACTCTCAGTACACCACAAAGACTTGCTGTCCTAGTCACAGATGCACCTGTGAGACAAACAATTGACCCTCTTTTCAACTCTGATATATCTCCCTTTATATTGTGTGGATTGCAATAGTTTACGTACAGCTGTAGACGTGAAACCTCAAACACCAGTGTTTCAGTTTCATTGTCAAACTCATGTATATTTTTACAATCTGTACTCTGGGTCTAATGCATTTTCAAGTGGAAGCTTCACAAAATTTTAAGAAAAATCTGAATCCACAACATCCTCTAAATATGCAATTATCAATGAATTATTAATGAACAACAATTATTCATTAGGTCATCAAGATTCATCCAGTATTCATCCAGAATTTCTGCCTGGAACCAAAAAAGTGCATCTTAGTCTTAATCATAATTCATCGTATACCTTGGTCCTGTAAGCCTAAAGGAGACACTGTCTTCGGCTGTGGGCTGGGACCTGGTGGTTACTACGGGTTACTCTGTATTTTTGGGAGGCATCACGCTTTAAAAAAAAAAGGAGCTGCTCGGTGATCACGAGGCATGACACCGATGCCCTGGGGATTCAGCACGAACCTTACATCCTTAACTGGTTTGGTTATGGGCTAGGTGCCGGTAATCGGCCATTTCCATTTCAAGCAGGCGTGCCGTCAAACCCATCTCTCCCCATGGAGTCACCGTGATCTTACACTTCCCCGGGGCCTCACTCACATGCTTTCTCATGGACCGTCAGCCCCCGCAAGGAAAAGAGCGGGGGAAACCATCTGAAGCCTGCCAGTGCTAAAGAACATTTTTTTTGCCTCATGAAGGGCAGTATTTCAGGGGTTTATGCTTTGTTGGAAGAAGCAGCATAAATACATGTAGATTCTCCCATAATCTCAGAGGCCTGCTGGCGATACTGCCTATGCGAGTATTAAAAAGTGCCAAAACACATTCCACCTTGAGGAGATCAGCAAAGGAAGAAGCAGCAATCATTCTTGTGATTCCTAGACTGCTGAAGACAAGTCAATGCTTAGTTTCCTAACTGGATGTATTCCGAATCCGTGTTCCCTCTCCAGCACTTTCTCCTCTCCCGGTGCTTACGCAACCAAACTCAGTGCGAAATATGTTGCGCGTCTGGCTGGCCGTCACGTCTGGGTGAGCGCACCATGCGGCTCTTCCGTCTCCATGCCGGGGAGAACGGTGGCAGTGTGCTGTAGGCTTGCTCCGCCATTCATCACCAGTTTTATTGAATTAGCAGCCTCCCCTTACTGGAAGCCGGACATAACCCACGCCTGACCTTGGTGAGAGCAAAAATACATTCCTCCCTGTGCTCTGGTCATGCTCTGGGCCGAGAGCGATGAACAGTGCCCACGAGCGGTTTCATTGAGACATCCGAGGGTCACTCATAGCACAAAGTGGCAAATGTCTCTCTGTTCAATCCCATGATGCCCCTCTGCTGAAACTGCAGAGCCAATTTAGTGTGAAAACCAGTCACGTGAACACAGGGGCGTCATGGAAACGATTCTGTACGGAACTTACAGTACAAAAAACGTGAAGGATCGTTATGGTGGACAGAAGAGGAGGGAAGCTGGCCTCCTCTTTTCCATACACCACGAGTGTACCAGAGTTAATGCCTCCATCTTGTGCATCCGTTCATCCCTCCATGGGGCTGCCCATAAGGGGAAAGAAAAGGGAAGACTTTCAGGGGCCCGGTCACAAGGGGGAGCCCATGAGTGCATGAGAATAGATAATATTGACCCTAGATATGTGGCCCTGTCCAAGCATGGGCATAAATTATGGGGGGGTGGGGGGGTTGTAACCCTCCCGATATGGGTGGAGACCTAAACTAAACTAAACTTACACCCTTGCATCCAAGCACAAGCCAGGTAATGCATCCATCCATTTTCTGAAATCACTTGTCCTATTTAGGGTCACAGGGGACCCAGAACCTATTCCAGAGACAATGGTTAGCTTCCGCTATCCACCTC